CACTGTCGTCGGTCCCGCCGCCACCGCCACAGCCTGCATTTGCTCCATCCCCGACCAGGTCCACCATCGTCGCGATCGAACAACCATAGACATGAACACTTCGTCTTCGATAGCCATGTGCAATTATCCAGTGCCTGCCTTTGGCTTCTCTGTCAAACGCCTCGCGCGCGATGCCGCAGTGTCTCCAACAACCCTATGCGAATCGACAAGGCTTATGTAGTCGCGCGAGTCCAAGTCTCGGCCGACTCGAGTCAGCAATGAGACCTTGCGTGGGATGACTCCGGTGACAATGTTCTGTCGTTCTAATTCCACATACACGGTCGGGCTGCGGATTTGATTGCCTCCGGCGAAAGAAGAGTCGATTTGGGTTGATGATCGTGGCACTGTGTGTGAAGCTACGACAGGGTTAGGCATTTTAGGGTTAAGAGTGGTTTAGTGGGAATTAGGTAACTTTTAGAAACAAACATGCAATTTTGAAGAACTTTAATTATAATGTAATTTAATTAATTGGTTAAATGTAGATTTTATTAAAAAAAATCTAATATTTGTAAAATATTGTTAAAAAAAATGTATGATATGTTTATGGATATGCATATTATTTGTTCAGAAAATTTTGGTATAGTTCATGTTAATTGATTGGTTAAATATGTAATTTATTTAAAATTTAATAATTGCACAATTATGTCCAATGCAATGCACAACAACGATAAATAAATTGCACAATAATGTGTATATGCATATTAAAAAATTCAAAAAAAATCAAAATGTCATCGCGATATAGAATGCATAATATCGTTCACCGATCGATGTTGAAATTTGTATATTTTAGCATTTTTTAATAATCTATGTATATATATATATATGTATATATATATATATATATACATATGGTTGAAATATCTGAAATTTTAAAAATAAACGAAAATAATTGAACATGAATATAAACATTTGAAACAAACATTTTAGTTCAGTCGAGTTAGGTCAATGATATGCAATTTGGCAGTCATTAAAGGGAGATTCATATAACACTATTGTGAGCGATCTCCTAACGCTATTGCGTCGTAAGATACTGTCGAATTTTTGTACCAACCCAAACTAAAATCGTACCGGATTTATTGATCTATTAAAGTAGCTAAATAAAATATTATTTATATTAGAAAGGCATAATTAGTATTTAATTATTTATGTTTAATATTTTTATATTATGTTTTTGGCTGAAAATAATAATATTTTTTTTATTAATATATAAAAAAAATAATCTTTTCCAGTAAACTTTATGGCTTCATTGATTTTCCAGTAAACATCATTGTACAAACGTGCTATTTACTAGCCACCATACTTGGCGTTCAAGGTTTTTCTGCCTCGAATTTACACTATTTTCGTCTCTGCCGTTAATCCGTGGAACAAAACATTGTCTTTGAAATTCTGAGGTGACCAAGAACACAGCAGTAGGAGATTTAATGGAGAAAATGAGGAAGAAATAAACTCAGACCGCAGATGCATTAACTTGACAGAAGTGCAAGCTACACAAAAGTACGGAACCGATGTGAAAAACCAACAAGCTGGTTTCTAATGCCCATTTCGTTTACACAGGCTTGCAATATTGGCAAGTTAAGATCTCATTCCATGCCTGTTCTGTTGTTTGCTTTCTGTTTACAACCATGAGTGTTCGGTGTCGGCATCTTCCAAACCAAAAGCCCACCTTTATGCACAATTGTTTAGAATGAACAAACTGTTTAAGGTTCATTCTTAGCAAAGGGGTTCCATCATAAATTCAGGTCAAGTGAACACCAAAGCAGCGACACATAAACACACATCCAAAGGCTAACTAACCAAATAAACAAAACGACACACTAGGTTAACGCAGGCAAATCGAACAAAGAACATAGCAATTCCATAAACCAACAATTGTCAATTATATTGCAAACAAGGCCGTGTTACATAGCGCCATTGTCCATTCCGCACAGAGAATGAAAACAGTCGACGAGGAAACTGAAAGACTAGTAAACACAAACCCCACAGGATGAGAGCTTATTCTACAACACCACAACCATCACCATACTGTATTGTATTGTATGTGTGCTTAACAGGAGAACTATAAATTCTCTCTTGAAATGCTTAACCAAAAAGAAAAAAAAAATACAAACATCTGTCACTCTATATAACATAATCCGACCACTCGATTATATGGGACGTCTGGTCCATTGTGAGGCTAGGCATCCTATCAAGCCTCACCGGATTCTCTTTACCCCCAATCAGCCGAGCCGGGTTCCCTACAGCAGTCGTCCTAGCTGGCACCCCTTTCAAAACCACAGAACAAGCACCAATCTTGGCTCCTTCCCCAATCCTAACATTGCCCAAAACACAAGTCCCAGCACCGATCAACACACCATCCCCAATCTTCGGGTGCCGGTCGCCCGAGGCCTTCCCGGTCCCACCCAAAGTCACATTATGCAAAATCGAGACGTTGTTACCAATAACAGCAGTCTCCCCAATCACAACACCCGTGGCGTGATCGAGCAGAATCCCTGCCCCGATTCTGGCCCCAGGGTGAATGTCCACAGCAAAAACTTCTGAAACCCTATTCTGTATCAAGAGGGCCAAAATTGTCCTACCTTTGGACCACAGGCTATGTGCGATCCTATGGGACTGAATAGCCAGGAAGCCTTTGAAGTTCAAGAAACAGTGGACGTAGCTGATGCAGGCTGGGTCCCTTTCTTTGACGGCCGTCAGGTCAGTGGCGACGGCCCTCATGATTTCCTGGTTCTCCGTGAGCACCCCCAGGATAAGGTCGCAGAGGGAGCCACTAGGAAGGCTAGAATCGCTCAATTTCATGGCGAGATAGCTGGCCAGGGCGGACTCCATGGATTGGTGGGACAAGATTGAGGTGAAATAGAAATCGCACAAAATTGGTTCTTGATCGATGTCCGACCTCGCCTCGTTCTGCATCCGGAGCCATAAATCGTGGATCTGTGCTTCGTCTAGGGTTTGGGGGGCATTTGTGCGGCGGAAATTAGAGAGACGGCATTTGAAGCCCTGGGTTTGTGTGGGTGGGGAGTGCACGCAGGTGGCCATGGTAAAAGCTAGCTGACGAATGGTGGGACGGTACGGGACGGTTCGGTTCGGGTAGTAAGAATGGGTCTATGAGAGGTGGAGAGTGTTGAGAAATGTACTATATATATAGAGGCGGAGCGGAGCTTTTAGGGGGGAAACAGTTATTTTACTTCTTCTTGTTATATAAGAAAAAAAACAAAGAGAAAATCAAAAATCAAAATAAAAAAAAAAATATGGACAAAATTGTATTTTTAGTCTTGCTAGTTTAATATTGTAGTATTTTTAGTCTCAATATTTTAACTTTTTATCTTTTATCCTGTAATTTAGTATTTTCTATAATTTTAGTCCAAAATAATTGAAATTGCAATAAAATTTAAATTATAGAACTTAAATTAGTAATAAAAAATCTTTTCATGTAATTTTAAATTGTATTGAATTTTAAAATTATTATAGAACCAATAAAAAAAATGTTAAATTATTAGAACTAAATCAAGCCACTATGACTAAAATATTAACAAAAATATATGTGGAGCGAATGAGAAGAAAGCAAAGTTTGCAAGAGAGGATAATGAGTGGAGGCTGTGGGCGGAAGCGTGTGGTTTCTAGATTTTTATCATCACAACAACGCGCAATCCAACTCGTTTGAATTTCACGCTTCACCCAATTTTTTTATTTATTTTTTTTTTTTTTCATAATATGTGTGTATTGTGTTAGAGGGTGGGTTTATATGCAAATATATTCGTTCAAAACTAGTTTTTTTATTAGTTAAGTTTTAATTTTAAGAAAAATTGTATGGTTAGTTGTTAGTGAAATATTAATTTTATATTAAAATAATATTAAAATAAAATAATTAAAGCTGATTTGATATAAAAAAATTGAGAGATATGATATGAAACGATGGTTAGTTCAAATTATGTGAGTGTATGTAGTAAATTAAAGTTGATGTGATGCGTAAAAATAATTGAGTGATATTATTTAATTACATTGATAATATTTAAGATCGTAAAATTGAGTTTTGAGTATGAATTGAGTGTGAATTGAATTTATTTATATACAAATAGTAGATGAAAACCGCGTATGGTAAATTAAATAAATTGGTTGACGATACAAATTTATAGAAATTAAATTTCACATAAAATTTATGTTTAATAATATTTGCATTGAAATAATAGTTTTATTTATAAAAATAATTACTATTTTATTTTGTTACTTTTTTTTATTACATTCTTTTAAACATATGGAATTTTTTAAAACTATATTGCTTTTTATTAGGAGTTTAAATATTCACATCTATTATAAATATTTTCATTCTTTAAAATTTTCAGATATTGACGGAATTCAATGAAATTTTAAATTTGGTGATGGAGTTTTGAGTGAGATTTCGTACAAGATTTTTTTGTTAGAAATCCTCGAATTTTAAAAGATTTTAACAAATCATAGTCAAATAAATTAACTACCTCGTGATTTTGTAAGACTCTTTAAAATCTTAAAAGAATATCCAAGATTTTTAAAAATTTAAAAAATCTAAATTAAATACACCAAAATTTTTGAAGTATTAAAATATTTTTAAAAATCCCAAATGGATACATTTTTTGGATTTTATTTGATTTTTAAAACATACTCTCTCCTTTTCAAAATAAGTGTCGTTTTGACTTTTTTGATTCATCCATTTTGCTATGTATCTAGACATAATATGTCTAGATACATAGCAAAATGGATGAATCAAAAAAGTCAAAACGACATTCATTTTAAAAAGGAGGTAGTATATATTTTCAAATTCAACAATAAGGGATTGAAGGATTTGTGAGGGTAGTAGGTGAAGTTTCTAGAAACCAAAAGTGGAGGCGCGTGGCTTTGTGTGTCACAAGAGCAGGTGCTGAAAAGGAAATCGTTGACTTAAGAGCATGTAAATGACGTGTGCGCTGACGCAGGTTGTAATTTTGGTGCGGGATGTAAGAGAATAAGTAAATTAGTAATATAATATTAATTTGTATAAAAATAGTTTTAAAAATTAATATTATTATTTTTTTATGATGAATAATAGTTTAATTATGATTTATACGATTATTTCGCTCATTAGAAAATAGTAGCCGTTTTAGAGTTCCAATTTAAAAATTAAGTAATGTGAAAATTTAACATATTCTAATATTATCAATAAAATACTCAAAAAAATATGTCTCTCTCTTTTCATTTATTCATACATTCTTACAATATATTATTTAGATTCTTAAATAAGTGATGAAAAAGTTGAAAAAGTTTTGATAAGGATTATAAACTGACACTTATTAAAAATAATATACTTAAACTTTACTAATCTTTAATTACGTAAGTTTATTTAATTTTTTTAGTTTTAATAATGACATTATAATTAGTTTGATTTTTTTTTTCTAATCTAATAATTAATACGACAATTCGACCTCGGGCTGATTTATCATTATAATTTATAGTTAATTTTATAGATATTTTGATTTTTATAGCTAACAATTTATGTCATTGTTCGACAAATAGATTGTCAGTTTATCATTATAATCCATAATAATATATATTATACATATTTTATTTTCTTTCTAAGTTAATAATTGTTATAAATAGTTCAACTAATGATTTTTTGGTTTTGTTATCATAATTTTTAACAATATACTTTATAAATATCTTACTTTTTCTTTCTATACTTATAATTTACATGATAGTTTGACGGACAGTTCATTGTTTTTTAATCTTTTTATACCACAATATTATAAATATTTTTATTTTTTATTATCTAATAATTTAGATGCTAGGTCGACAAATGACTCGTTGTTTATAATTTTAATATCTTATATATTTGGTCCTCGAAACAATTGTTTAATTATATACTTTTTTATTATGCATTAATATTTTAAACACATGAGGGCACCCGCATCGCTTTATTTTTCTGCTTTCTTTTTTTTTTTTAGTTTTCAAATAGATGTTTATTCATTTTTTTGTTTTAAAATAATTGTTAATTCAATCTTATTTTTCTTTATATTTAATTTATTTTTGTAATTTTACTATTTTTTGTGTAATCCCAATTTAAGTTATTTTGTCGTTGAAGTGTTTTTTTTTTTATTTTCATGCATCTAAAAATAATTATTATAATTTAAAAATATTAAATTCTATTTTTATTGGAAATAGAATATAAAAATTTATATTGAATGATCGCACATATGTATTTAAATGAATGTGTATGAATGTGGGTGTGTGCTTAAATGGAGAGAGATTTAGTGGAAAATTGATGTGGAGATGATGTGGATGAGAGAGAGCGTTACTTTTATGATTGAATGAATGATATTTGTGTTAAAGGGATGTAGATGGCCTGAAGGATAAACATAGCACCAAATATTTAAGGTTATTTTATGCTAGATATATTTTACTAGGGCAATCATTGAAAAGGTTATTTTATGCTAGATATATTTTATTAGGGCAACCATTGAAAAGGCTCACCTCAAATTCTAAAGTGGCAATCATTGGATCTCAAGTATTACGGCCCATCAAGATCAAGTGAGATGATATCTGGCAAATACCTAAGTGTGCTAGGTGTGCCACGACCTTTTGTGAAATACACTCCTCCCAAAAGCGCGTGAGGTAAGAAGGTAAGATATTTTATTTTTTTAAATGGGACATGTGTCTCATTTCTATTGAGTAATGAATTAATTTCATATATCATATTATATAAATTAAATTATCATTCATATTTTGTATCAAAAAATAAAAATACCAATATTCATAATTTTTCATTCTCTACAAATAGAGACCACATTTGATATTTTTTGGAACACAATTAATTTATCATTTTTTTACAATTAATTTATCTTATTGGAAGATTATGACATAAATCTATAATTATATGAATATGTTACATAGTAAGATGAACATGTTATAGAGTAAAATGAACATGCCATAGAATAAGATGAAAATGTTACATTTTTACAGATGAAATTTAGATGAACATGTTCTAAAATAAGGTGAACGTGTTACATAATAAAATGAACATGTTATAGAATAAGATGAACATGTTACATAATAAAATGAAAATGTTA